CAAGACCCACATAACTCATTACAGGAAACTTTCAATATAATTATCAACTTCTCAAAAATCTCTAACTACACAATAAACTGGGATAAATCATCCATTCTGATGCTTTTTGAGGAGGCCTGGGATTCTGCAGCTCAGCACCCCTCCCTCCCGCTTCATACTGGCAATATTAAATTTTTAGGTATTAACATTTCAAACATTTAAAAAAATGACATTTCTTTATTTTTTTTGCCTGTCCCGTTTGGCTCTTTTGCCACCAGAATTATTGTCTAAAGGCAAAGAAAGATGCCCAACGGATTTACTTTACCAAATCGACCAAACCCAGCCTTGCCGTATTGGTCTATTGATTCGCCTTTTGTTGTTTATTTTATTTGAACCTGCTAAATACGGGAAAGACTTGACTGGGGAAAAGAAAGGGGAGAAAGAAAGAGGGAAAGAAAAACAGCAGGGAAGAGGGACGAGGATAAAGGGCAAAAAACAAAAACCAACAAAATAAGATCACCTGTTGAGAAAGAAAAAAGAGAAAAAAAGCAGGAAAAAAAGAGCAACATAATAAACAACATCACGATGATATATGGGAATATAACAGTAAATACTAAATATTAAACATTATTGTGCAGCACGTAAGATCGACAGCGCACAGTGTGCTTTGAGGTAGGAGCCAAAAAGGGTGTAGTTTGTGTGTGTGAGCACCCGTGTGTACACCTGTGAGCGTGGGCGCGCTTGTATTTAAAAGGTTCCTTCATGTAATGATCTGCTAGAGGGTGTGGGGAGCCACAGCCCCGTCCTTACTTACTATTCATCACTGATTAAGATAATAACAGCCCTAGGTTTCTCTTCAGCACTATAGCCGGGCTGACAAAAAAGTATATCTTTATTTTTTTGATCATAGAGGGTTTGTTGAACCTTTAGACAAAATATATGAAAATATATCAAATTTTAATCCGCATATACAAGTTTTAATTTGTATCCCATTTGCTACATAAGCCATATTTTTGCAATTTAGTCATTAAAAATGTGTCATGCAATTTATTTCATTTTTGAGGGTAAAAAAAAGTCACAATGATGATGTAGAAGACTCAAAAACTCACAAAAACACATGTATCAAATACGATACGCTTGGCTTTAATGGTTTAACCATAACCATAACTAGTAACGACATGAATTTCATCACAAATAAAAATGTAACCATTAGAGAAAAAAAATATTCATATCCATCTCACAGATTTATAATTAGATGATTACATGCCTCCCTTAGCCTGGTTCTACCAGTGGTTTCTTCCTGTTAAAAGGGAGTTTTTCCTTTCCACTGTCCCCAAATGCTTGCTCATATGGGGTCGCTTGATTGCTAGGGGTTCTCTCGATTATTGTAGGGTCTTGACCTTGTGACAGGTGTTGTTGTGATTAGGTGCTATATTAATAAAATGGAATTAAACAGAATTTTTCTAATCAGGTTTATTTTTACTGCAATCGCAGTGTTTTGGGGATCAAGAGGTCAGTAAGTTCAGGCTAATAGTAGTTAAATGCAGGATCAAGTCAATTTCCCATGAAGGAAATGGAAATTTTCCAGCTTCCATAGGGCAAGAGGTGTTATACACGTTCACACTTATGGGCAGTTCAGAATCACAAGTTAACCTAACCTAACCTCATTAACTGCATATTATTGGACTGTGGGAGGAAACCAGAGTACCCACGTAAACACGAGGAGAACATGTAAACTCCTCACAGACAGGCTCCGGCCTGCTGGTGGAGTTGAACTCGGGATCTTCTTGCTGTGAGACAGCAGCGCTAATCACTGTGTGGTTTACATACACGAAACAACATTTTGATTTATTTTTATAATTTCTGAACCAAAAATTAAATAGAAATCATAACTTTCACTACTTCAGGAGAAACATCTGTGTCGCTTCATAGCAAAGAACAGCGATGCTTGTGAGCAGACACGAGTATAATTTATGCACCGTCTATTTCCAGTTGCACTTATCAGGAACAGCTATGTTTACTTTTACTTTTTAAGCAGAAAATCAGGTATCGAGTTGCTTGTTTTCACACACAGTAGTGTGATAATCTTGGAAACAGTTAATGAATAATGGTGGTAGTTCTACTACTGCTGAATGTCTTCCTCTACGCCTAATTGAGTTCAAAAACTATCTGCCTCAACTGACTTCCAGTAAAAACAATAACAACAACAAAAAAACATTTAACTGAAGTAGCTGAGTGATATAATGAATTTACAAAGTGTGACGAGGAAGCAATTTCAGGACTGGGAACCTGTGTGAGGCGTGAATCATCAACCCTCTAATGAATCAGTGATAATAAGACTTAAAATAGGAACATGTAAAGAGTTAGGTTTGATTTGAATACTATCAACACTTGTAATTTTTCTCACACAAAAAATATATATTTTGGGTTATTAAGATAGAATGACTATAGACTAACCAAAGCAGGATGGTTTGTATTCCTTGTATTAACCACCAAAAAGCAGTAATTAGAAGGTTCAACATGAAAAAACTCAAAAAGTAAAGCTGTTATGCAGAAAAAGACATTCATAAGTATCATTATTAATTAAGTATATTAATATTTAATCACCTTATCTTTAGGTTAATCGCAAGGTGCTGTTGCTTTTCTTGCCAAACCTAATTAATATAGGATTTGTACCACATTATAAAAGTGTTAAAAATAGGAATGTACCATATGTAGGAGGCAAAGATAGAGGACTCCAAAACTGAAGAGAAAGGACATCCTGTGGTTAATTTAATGGTGTAAAAAAGGAGGCAGGAGTGTTCATTATAATAACAATCAATGTTCCCTCTAATTTTTCATGTGTCACAGAGCGAACACACAAACTCCCTGAGCGGTCCCTTGGACCACTGTGAGCAACAGCAGACGTGTGCACTGTGGTCACGCCAGCATCAATCCATCCAAGTTACATGGTTTATTAAAATAATCAAATTACAGCATTTACATTTATGTTAGACTTTTAATTAACTGCTTTAGCCCACTTACAATGAAAATGTAAAAAAAAAAAAAAAAAAGAAAATTTTGAAAACAAAACTTTATTTTTTTTTATTTTTATTTTTTTATAAAGCTCTGACTTGTATTATGAGGTTGAGTCTGTGGGTCTGGGAGAGAGTCCTGTAACTCTCTGTCTGCAAAATACAGTAAATAATGACCAATGTTGGGCAATTAATTATATAGTTACTTCTTCAAAAAAGTTACTGAGTTTTGCAAACAACAACGTTTTTTGCAGCTGTTTACCTAAAAATGCAGCCAAGGCGGTTTTTTAAATAAACATTTCAAACTATTTACAGAACAATCAGCTGTTCTGCATCAAATTTGATGCCACACAAATTATTTGTGTCACTCCAAAAAATAATTTCTGTCCACTATGAGATAAAGGAGAACAACGGCCTGGTACCTGCAGGCCTGACAACAGGAGATGTATCACTCCTGTAACACCTGTAACATTCAGCAGTTGCCTCATTGTTCTGACACACACAACAAAACTATCGACTACACTACACACTAACTACACAAGATTCGTGCTAAACGTTGCAAATCTGTCACAGCTCAAAACACCGCTGTCACTCCTAAAACTTCCCCCCTTCCCAAACAACTAAATACCATGTTGCCATATCAGTTTTTGATTGGTCGACATGGTACATTTTTCCACCAATAGGAAAGGCTGAGGGCAGGGGTTTGCTCACAGGCGGAGAGTGCTTTCGAGGTTTTCCTTATAAAACGCCGTTTTTACCGTTTCTTCCTGCAGTAAATATAAACAACGATAGTATTCAGGAAGAAAACCAAACATTGCATTTTTTTTATCATAACTCTGGTTTTACGTGGCCTATCAACACAATTTAAAAACTGTTATAAAGTCCACACTTTTTCTGTCAATTGTTCCGTCTGTCCTGCTCACATCTCCAATGGTTGTACACGTCATCAACGTGGCTTCACTCCACATCAGCCGCTTTGCCAGCTAAAACACCGGTGTCAGCACATAAGGACGCTGTCATAGCCTGTCAACGACGTTGATTAGCTGCGTATAGATGAACGTGAATCGCATTATTGGCTGGACTATGGGATAAGGTGGCACCGTTCTAATCCCATAAGGGAGCAGCCAGTCACTTACTGACTAACACTGCAAAACAGAATTGTTAAAGTTTTAATTTTAATTTCAAGTCAAGTTAGATTTTTTTTCTGTGCGCAACGCAGATTTTCTGTGCGCAGAGACCGTGCCAGCAGTGCGCAATTGCGCACGCGCGCAGTTTAGAGGAAACATTGATAACAATAGTCCATTAAAGTGGATAGAATTACCACTGCAATACAAGAGCTTCACATTTTACAGACAAACCATGTGAAAATCACAAACGTATGCCGAAATGTTTCACTAAGTACTGTTAAAAGGATTCAAATAAACAGAAACATTTCACCTTAAAAACTTTTTTTTAATCAGTAGGACCAAATAAGGAAACAAATAAGATCCTGTTTCCGCAGATTAAATGTAGCTAATTTTATTATTTGAATCACAACGAATTAATCAACATCCTCACTTCTGTCTTTGGTATACTGAGTTATATTAACATTTTAAACCTAGATCATATAAATGTGGCAAGGTTGAGTGCAACACTGCACAGAACCACGTAGAATATTTCTATTAGCCATACTGACACTGTAGTTTTGCATTGACGATTGTCTTTCTGCGTCATTAAGAAAAGAATATAAAGAACAAAATGCAATTAATTAAAAAAAATACATTCAGTAAAACGTTGAGCGAACTTTAAACGACAAACGTTTTTAGGGTTAAAGCGTAAACATGGTGGGAGGCAAGTGATACAAATTAGCTTATCGTAACACCATATTATGTGAAATGCATCCCTGTGAAAGTTAAGCGTGATACAACGGGTGCGATACGCCGAGCAGTTCTCCCCCTGAACTGTAATAAGAGATGATCAACCAGCAGGGGGGGTCCAAGACCTGTATTTGTGATTGAAAGCGCTGCACATTTAGTCCCTTTTGTAAAGGAAGCCTTCCTTCACTTCACGGACCGGTCTGTTCTTAGTCGCCTGATTTTGTTTCTTTCTTTTCTTTCTATTCTTATTTCCTCTCTCGTCTCTCCCTCAGTCATCATCTCTTGTCTTGGCTGATCTCAGACCAGCTGCAGCAGACGGATCTCTGTCTGTAACTCCAGCTGTGTGGCTCCAGTCCCGCAGGCTGGGTCGGCCATGTTGTTGTGTGGGGGTTGATGGAAGTTTAGTAGTAGGAAGTGGAGGCTACAAAGCGCTGGGATACTTCAGGGTCTCACTTTTTTTTTCTTTGCTTTTTTTTTAAAAAATCACTGTCATGCCGATGCAGGACTCATCCTCGCTGACCCGTCCGCTCTGACAACAATGACCGTCTCCTCCATCGCCCCCGCCATCCTCTCCAAGACTGCAACACTTAAGCTGCTTTGATTTAACTTCACAAAAAAAAGAAAAAGAAAAAAATCTGACCACAGTTGACTCTGCTGGATGCGTAAAGTGGGGATGAAGGCGACTCGGTTCCGTTTGAAATAACTCGGATATTTTTCTTTTGCTTTTTGCTGATCTGACTCGAGGAGAACAGAGGGGGGGAAGAGAAAACACCCACCGAGGACTCGGATTTGAGAAGGTAAATGAAAAGGGAAAAAAAGAAAAGTGGTCTTTGTCAGAGCAGCGGGATCAGATAAAGATGGGCCGAAGCGCAGCTGCTCGCCTGTCTGGGCTGTCAACAAAGGAAATTAGATGTCCAATAATAACACAGACATGCTTGTAGATTTTCTATGTAGTGTGTGAATGTTCCTTTATCCTGCAAACCAGCCGCTTTGTGTCATTTTATAGGACATCAGCGAGCAGTCGGCATGCTTTCAGTCCCAGAGGAATACGGTATAAGTATACTGGATTGCAGATGAATAATCAAAGTAACACAAGCTGGGTGTTCTGCAGTTTGATAAAATAGCAGGGGTCTAATTATCATTTCACGGTTTAATTATCATAAACACGAGTCTTAAATTGTCATCGTGGGATTATAGTGGTAAATTAGAGATTAATTGCCAAAAACCCGTGTGAGAAAAAATGGATTAAATCCTTATTTTCTCTCATTTTCTATGTGTTCACTTGTCAGCGTGTTAATTAGATTAAATAACTGAGAAAAGTTGATCCCACAGTGCTGGATTCGGATAAAGATGGGTTTAAAGAGAAAGAAGAGAAAGAGGTTCGGGTTCTTTTTGTGATGCAGAGTCACTCATTTAACAGCTGAGTCACACTTTGAGGGGTTGCTTATTCTTCTCTCACTCCGACCTTTCAGTCTCCACTTTTAGGACACGGGCTTTACTTGCACACATGTTCTTTGAAGTCTGTAAACTGTTAAGATTTCAAGTGACTCGGTGTGGTGTCATATCCTGAACAGCTCTGCACTTTTGCACAACTATGTAAGTGAATCATAGCAGCTCTGAATCCTTATAAGGTCTGGCGAGGTTGGAGAGAAGGCAGTTGTGTTGTTATTTGGGCTTTGGAGTGTGATCTTTCACCCCTGGAAGGTTCCTGTGAAGACATTGAAAAGTTACAGCTTTTAATGTTACCACCGAAGCTGCTAGAAGTACTTATTGAATTGATTCATTTGTTGAAGTTTGCAGCTGTTGTTTTGATGTTTTTAATGCACAATTCCTACAGTTTGATGGTCTGAGTCATCAGTGGTGATGCAACAGCATCAGCGTTCTGGGAACACCTATGATGGGTTGGATGTCAGAGGGTTAAAAAGACAGTTGACAGTTTCCAGGCTGATCTGTTTGTAGAGAAAATACTCAGTGGATCATTTAGTTTGTGTGTTTTTAGACTAATGTTGGGCTTAACAGCAAAATATTGTTTTCTTTATAGCTCAGGATACCTGAAGTGATGCCATTTCTTCTTTTGACTGACATGAAACTTCCCCTTCTTTAAGGTCTTCACTGAACGAAGATACTAATAGTAGAAGATGTGAAATTTTGGAATTTCATCACATGATTGGTTAATAAGGTCATCTTCTAGCGTGTCAAATCAGTTCACCACTCTAAGAATGTTTCTTTTCATTATTTTTTTCTTTTTCAAACTCAGCACTTCACTCGCTTCTTTCTCCAGCATGTGAGGGAGTGAAATCAGAGCAGTGCTCTCCATGCGTGAAAAAAGAAGGCGCATGAACAAATATCTAAGAGTTGCCCTCTTATCAGCAGTCTGTAAGGGAGAGTGAGTTCTGATATTGCGAACAAAGCGCTCCAGTGTTTCCTAAACTCTACTAATGCCACAGTCCACATGTCAAATACAGCTTTTGTTTCTATCTCAGTGAAGAAGACTCTAATCTAGGCTGTATTGGGGGTTTTGGAGTCACCTTTTGTTTTTCGATGTTGACACTTAAAACAATCGGTCCTGTTATGTGCTGGCAAAAGGATGATTCCCAAAAATAGCACGCCATTCAGGATTTCTCATGAGAGCTTTTAATCTGAAAAATGTGTCATGTCTATTCTCTGGCAGCACAGTAACTGACATGAGCACAACCACAAGCTGTTCAGTGAAGTTTTGAGACAGGTTAAATAAAGTCAGTTATGATAATAATGTAAATAACCAAAACTGATCTTTTTCCTTTTTTCTGTTGGACTGAAGTCGAACACTGCTGAGCGAGGAGGCTCTTCAAGCTAAACTTGTTCTCAGATCGATGTCAAAGTGTTGTAAGCCTCAGGATCAGCTTACTGTGAGCACGCTTGCAACAGAACTCAACACCCAGTGCAGAGTAAATCTCATTATGAACCATTTATTGATGTTTCTCTTGATGCTGCGGGGCTTCAAATCTCCACCGTCACATGACGTTTCTCCAGACCCAGATTTAACTCTTTGGCATCAGAGGAATGTCGCAGGCTGCATCTGTTGAAGATCTGAAGCCCATTAAAGCTCCACAGACCCACCCAGCCTGCATCCGCAGCGATAGTAGCTAACAGCTGCCCGGCAAGATGCTGGGCAGTATTTCAGTAAGACCTCTGATGACTGATGGAGGAGGAAAACACCACCATACTACCCTTCAGCTAAGCTGCCAAGGTCTCACCCAGCCAACTATCAAGATCTAGTTAATCTAAATCTCAGAAGATTTGAGCCTGTTCAAACTACTGAGAGTCTTACTGTATCTTAGAATATCTTAGAATCAGGCTTCAATTCATGTATAATGCATGGCATGCAAAAGGAAGATGTAATAATTTATACTTCACTAGCACAGCTTTATCTTGGGTAACTTATCAGGCTAGCAACACTTTCATGTATCATATCTGCATATGCAAATACTTCAAAAAGTTGAAAATTAAAAGAAAAAAACATCTAATGAAAGAGGTAAATCCAGATTTATTTCTATTTATTGCCACGGTAGCAGGCAGACACTCCTTTTGTAGCCATATATTAAATATGTATGCAGTGGTTTGAGGATTCCTCTTTTGAGTTTCAGCATTTTGACTCCCACCATAATGTTTGTTTGCTTTTTGGAGTCAGAAGTGACCATATTTAGATGGGAATCTTGAGTGTTAGGTTATCAGCAAACATTATCTATTCATACTGAGAGGTACTGGCTGCTAAACTACTAGTATCACTCAAAAACTACAACACACACTTCTTGGACGGACTCTTTGTTAAATAAACACACGCAGTCATGTTACGGTAAGATAATGGCTTTAAACATAATCCAAAAGATGAAACACCAACACAGTTGTGAGGTCTGTACTACAAAGCAAGATTAGTGTGATAGCGAGCTATGTCGGGGTTAAAGTCGGAGTTTTCTGTGTCACTAAAGTGGCTAAATCACCATGGTAACCTAACCTAACCTGGTTGGTTATGTGTTTGGTTTAAAATGTTTTAAAATTCACTAGAAGCGCTGCGTTTTCACTGAATTTTATTTACAGCATGTTTTATGTTCAATGTGTTTTATATGTGCAAGTTGTTAAGCTGTAGCTTATTATCATACAGGTTGCTTCAGGAATGTGCATATAACAGTGAATTGAATTAGCATGGGTAAAAACTAGCAACAACTGCAGCTCTCACATTAAATAAAATTTTAAAAAAACATGAAACAATTTGTCCGATTATAAGTTCTGAATTGGATTTTTGATGGGGATGTCTCATAAAAGTTTGTGTAATGCTGCAGGTTATTCTTTGCAAGCAATCAGTTCTTTTCAAAGTGACTCTTTGGTCTATTTAACAATACAAAAACCAAAAGAAACAAGTTAAAATTCATATAAAAGCATAAAAAAACAGCAAATCCAGGCATTACTATAGCAGTAATAGGTAAAAATCAGATTTTGTTCTGGTTTCTGATCATGGGACTCCTCCACATTCAGCTTACTCATCTAAACATTGTCTCTGCAGCCTTCTTAAACACTCTGAACTGTGATCCCTGTAAAACTCTTCAGTATAATCCAAGAGAGTGACGGAAAAATGCTCTCCTCTCTGTCTTATCAGCGTTTTGTGAAGCCTCTGTGGAATTATCACTTTGTGGTCAGAGTCAGGGAAGGAAGCCAAAAGAAGGTCGCTGATAAGAAGTGTTCAGGTTTGAACACTTCTTGTAAGACTGAATTATCAGTCTTACAAGAGATCATGGAAAAAACAGGAGATGGGTTTTAACTGAAACTCGGATCACGTTAGCTTACGTAAATACACAAATGAAACAAAGCAGGCAAAAGAGTTCTTCGAGAAAAGAGTGAAAGCTTGAAAACGCTAAATTAGTTGAGCCCTGGCTAGATGTTGAACAGGCACTATGCAAGGATTTAGAGATTTCAGACCTACCATTTATTAGCTCAAACATCAAAAGACATGAATGCTTTAAAAGTATCAACATCAGCTTTTCTCTAATAGCATGGTGGGAGTTTC